ATTTATATCATTCCAGTTTATGATTTATGATTGTGTAGCAGTACCTAATTTAATACCGACACCTAAAGAGAAAGTGTAGCTCACAACTCTCAATTTATATCACGATATTGTGATCTGTAGGTATTGTGATATAAAATTGTGATATGAATAACCGACTCTAAATGTAGGTATTGTGATATAAACTCAGTCTGTTCTACAGTTTCTCATTAGGCTGAATGAATAACCGACTCTAAATGTAGGTATTGTGATATAAACTCAGTCTGTTCTACAGTTTCTCATTAGGCTGAATGAATAACCGACTCTAAATGTAGGTATTGTGATATAAACTGAGTCTGTTCTACAGTTTCTCATTAGGCTGAATGAATAACCGGCTCTAAATGTAGGTATTGTGATATAAACTGACTCTGTTCTACAGTTTCTCATTAGGCTGAATGAATAACTGACTCTAAATGTAGGTATTGTGATATAAACCGAGTCTGTTCTACAGTTTCTCATTAGGTTGAATGAATAACCGACTCTAAATGTAGGTATTGTGATATAAACTGAGTCTGTTCTACAGTTTCTCATTAGGCTGAATGAATAACCGGCTCTAAATGTAGGTATTGTGATATAAACTGACTCTGTTCTACAGTTTCTCATTAGGTTGAATGAATAACTGACTCTAAATGTAGGTATTGTGATATAAACTGAGTCTGATCTACAGTTTCTGAGTATCTCACAACATTAGCTACGAAAGAACACGTTTGGGGGCGGAGCCTGGCTAGATCAATAGCATAAATGCATCTCAAATATGTGAGGATATAAACAAACTCCTTCACACACAAACACACCCAGAACACGGACACAACACCAAGCACACACACTTTGAAACAACAAACCTCTACAAAACATTTATCCAACATTAATCTAACATCCACAAAACATTCATCCAGTACAGGGCTGGCAGATATGGACGAAATAACACGAACAGAATGATAATTTATCAAATTACCATTATTATGGCATAACAAATGATACAGACCGACATGTTAGTCAGTCAGATGCACATATTTTGATCAACTTCGTCTGCAAAATGGAAAAAAATAAAAAAGGCTGGGAAAACTGCTGGTTTTAGAGTCCACTTCAACAGTACATCTTCATTTAAAGGAACAATCCAGACGTTTTCATCCTAATCTCGGTCTTCTGTGTGTGTAACATACGATCATTTACCACAAACAGGCATTTCAGCATTGAAAATAACTGAAAACCTGTTGACTCGAAACTCAGCGACAACAGAAGCCAATGGACAGACGCTTCAAAGACTGATGTTCATGGTTATCAATCAAATGTTACAGATGAAGCAAGAGATGAGGTTGAGAAACACTGGATTCCCGTACGTTAGGAAAAGCTGCACTTTCGCAACACATTTTGAGCAGAAAAGCATTCCAGTGCTTCAGTGCAAGTGCTTTTACTGCGATATGCATGTCCTTCATGGTAAGAGTTCAGTTTTGCTATAAGCAGTGCAACCTCAGAATTACATTCAGCACCGATTCACATTAACCTGACCCCTTCGTCCAACGTCTGAAAGCAGAGCCTGATATGTGACGTCCACATTTTTCACATTTTATACATAATTAACTGGTTAAGATGTAAACAGAGTCATTCAGAGTGGTTTGGTGTGAAACGCTCTGTTCTAGATAAACTTACCGAGTCAGAACTGCTCACAGTGGTGGTGATAGGAACCAGACGTCCACCTCTAAAAGCTCCTCACAGAAAGTTCCTACATGAAATGGTTATGAATTCACTGCCTGATGACTGAGACACTGTTTTATGATGGTTTAGAGAACTTAAACTCCATTCATGGTGGAGGGATACATGCAGGGCGCTGTGAGGCAAAATAGTTCCCAAAGAAAACTGATTATTTCAGATTTTCCACTGTTTTCCATCATCAACATTCATATAAACTCAGAAGACTCATGTAGGTTCACTGGTGGTTCTGGATAGTAAATAAAGTGTCTATATTTGTGTTGTAGTCATGGCAACCCCTGGTTCCTATCACCACCACTGTAAAGACATCTGAACCATTTCACACCAAACCACTCTGAATCTCTCTGTTTACATCTCTCACAATGAGTTATGGGGAATTTTGAAAAATTAGACAATTTTTCAATCTGATCTCTATCTGTTGCGTCAGTAGTGTATGGCTGGTTACCACAACAAAGAGTAGAAATATTACTTTATGACACGAGTATAATAGAAGTCAATGGGCAGGTGCTGAACTCCGACAGTAAATGTTGCAAAAGCGTATTTTCGTACAACATTTCAGTGGAAGGTGTTTGTAAATTAAGCTGTAAATCTGTAACTGTAATTCTCTTAGAGACGTGACTACTTTTCCAGTTTTCATTGCTATCAGTACCAAAACCCCAAGGCTGGCTTTGCACTTGAAACTTTCACGCAACTAGTTGCATGCAACATAATGTCCATGCAACCTGACAGTTGCTTGAAGCAATTCAAAAACAAAGTTGTGCGCAACGTATCTGGATTACTCCACTAGTCAGAGACAACAGCGTCTCGTATGTTTGATGTCCTGTATGGTTCCTGCAGTAAAGTCATCTGCAAGACATGATTTAAATATCTGCAGTATTTTTATCATCTCTGTCTCTGTTTTTTTATCTTTCTTTCCTACATATCTGAGTTTTTTATCTGTTGTATGTATGTCTCACTTTTGATGAATGTCTGATTAGTCCTTACAGTTATGCTCATAGGCGTCTCTCATTTTGTCCTAGAAGCACAAGGTCACTGAGGAGCATCTCCGTTTCCTCTGGATCCTAAATGAATCAGCTCTGTGTAAATTAAGGGGTGTGAAGAGGGGAAAACTAATCTAGCTGGGTAAACCACAGTAACAGCAGCTGAAGAAGAGTAAACAGTGGCACAAGCAGCTGTTTAAACAGCTGTCAGCATTAACTGGCTAGTTAACACAGCTGGGCTACAGAAACGTTAGCTTTGAGAAACTCAGACAAAACTGACAAAATGAAAAGCCACCAAATCAAAACAACCATCTTCTGTTTTATTCTCGTCCACTGATCCGGTAAAATCAATCATCTGATAAGTATAATGTTTTATGTCATCACGTGACGCACTCTCCGCACTTTGATTGGCCGTTTCATTAACTTGTTTCAAAGTGTTGAGACTCTCGCAACAGTTGAGGCCACACGCAACTCATTTCAGGTGAGTTTCAAGCTAAAGTTGCATGACAGTTTCCTGGTTTAAACCCAGCCTCTGAGTTTAAAATGAGTTGTAGGACACTATGCAACTAATTTCATGCAAGTTTCGAGCTTAAGTTGCACAACAGTTTCACTGTTTAAAGTTGGCCTAAGTAAAGCAAAAGCAACCGGAACTGCTTTTGTTACTGATTTGTAAAGGACAAAACTGAAGACCAGCTCTCGGAAGACCTCTTCACAGTCTGTCTCACCCTACACTCTTAAAAAGAGGTTTCTTCAAGGGTTCTTTAGCAAAGAAAATGGTTCTGTACAGAACCATGAAAACTCAAAGAACCCTTTGCATGATTAAAGGGTTCTCTGCATCGTGAAAAGGCTTCTTCAGCTTGATGGACAATGTGTTATACATGGTTCTATATAGAACCTTTCTGAAAAGTGCTCTATATAGCACGAAAAAGGGTTCTGCTATTGTTACAATTCAAAGAACCATTGGTCCTATAAAGAACCCTTTTTTTGCCAAGAGTAACAGCTGTACTGACAGAGCAGAACAGCTGGAGTTGAGTTCACCTTATATAAGCAAACATTGACTCATGTTTCAGCCCACTGACCTCTATTATGAGAGAACTTAGAACCAATGTTTCTGCTGTTCTTATTTTTCTTGTCTGTGGTAATTAATCACACTCTACAGACACAGTCAGGGCTGATCGATTCGGGGAAAATACCTAATTGCAATTTCTCTGATCAATATTTTGACTGTGATTATTTTCTATAAATTGAGGTTCAGGCCTGTTTTTGCCCAGACGACCAGAATACTGACCTTGTCCGGCTTGAGGCTCGACTCCTGAATGTAGTGCGGCAGACGGCCAGCAAGCTATGGTTGTGATGTCACAACAGTTGGAGGTTTGGTTGCCTCTGATTGGTCTAATTTATCTACAGGCAGGTCAGTTGGGTTAGACACTGTTCTTGATAACGTAGGCTTTAATTTTTAAAAAACTGCAGCTCAAATTTGAGAATTTCTCTCTTAAATTGCGATTTCGATAAAAAGATGATGAATCTTTCAGCCCCAGATACAGCAGACAGAGGTTAGGCTGGGAAGGTGATGAGCGCTCCTTTAAAAACGATGTGACTGATAAGCTGATGACCGATTATGATTGATAAACTCACTGCATGCTGATGGAAACTGGCCGAAGTTCTATGAAGACAGAGAACACGGCTTCATGCTCTCAGTCACTGACAGCAGAGACAGACACTGATCTAAACTGACTGTGCACTGATCAATAATACTGATCGCGTTATTAAATATCACGTTTTCGAGGAGCTGCTGAGGGTTTGGTGTCTCCATAACCGCACATCTCCCTAAACACAGCGCTGCATGAGGGGAACGTCACAAAAACAAAGTAAAAAAACTGCTGAACTCATCATAACAGATTACCGATAATACGATATTACAAATGTACAGAAATCAATATTAAAGCCACAGTTTGGCAAAAAACACAATTCACACTTCTCTCCTAAACCCAAATGAAGCTGATGTAGCTGACATGTACTGGAAGCTTATATTCTACCAACTACACTCTCATAAAAAGAGGGTTCTTCAAGGGTTCTTTAGCACAGACAGTGGTTCTGTATAGAACCATGAACACTCAAAGAACTGTTTACATAATTAAAGGGTGCACTGCACCACGAAAGGGTTCTATATAGCACCAAAAACTTTTGTAACAAGCTTGATATCGTAACAACAGAAGAACCTTTTTGATGCTATATAGAACCCTTTTCAAAAAGTCTCAATTAGAACCACCTACAGCATGTTCTCCACCAATCTGAGGAACCCTTTCATGAAGCAAAAAGTTCTTTGAGCGTTCATGGTTCTGTATAAAACCATTTTCTTTGCCAAAAAACCCTGAAGTACCATCTATAAGAGTGTACAGAAGAATGCTTTTTGGTTCTATATAGAACTATTTTCGAAAAGGTTCTATATAGAACCAAATCCAACACATTCTCTATCAGTCTGAAGAACCATTTCACCATGCAAAGAACCATTTAAGCGTGTAAATGGTCTTTTCAGTGTTCATGGTTCTATACAGAACCACTGTCTTTACTAAAGAACCCTTGAAGAACCATGTTCTTTAAGAGTGCAGCGTCCAATTGGTACATAAGCCTCCAATACTTGTTAGCTACGTCAGCCTCGTAGCTCCAGTGCTACAGAAGCCCTCGATTGGGCTGAACGGAGAAACTGTGAATTCCGTTGTTCCCCAAACTATCGCTTTAAAGCAGAACTTCAGTTTAGAAGCGTTCTCCCAGAGGGGTCAGTCTGACTCTGGTCACCCCGATAACCCCGGTGGTCTCCGGTGTGGCGACTGGCCGTTAGGTTTTCATGGCGTCCTGGAAGCCCCAGGCCTCGAGCAGGGCGATCTGGAAGCTCTCGGCGCAGAGCGGCGGGTTGTCGAAGGTGGCGCAGCGGCCCGTCCGGCCGTGATTCAGCTCGGAGTCGATATACAGAGCGTTTCCGTCGCCCCCACCTGGACAGGAGGACACACAGCAGCACCAGCACAAACACACAGCAGGTCAGAACAGCAGGGCTGCAGCGACTCGCACTACTGCGACCTTACAGCAGGGCTGGACCATACGGGCTAAAACCTCACCAGGATACATGTTTCAGCATCGCTCAATGGTGATTAACTAACACTGCTACCTGAAAATCAGGAACACTAGCAAACTATGCTAACTCAAAATAGGTAACACTAACTCTGCTACCTCAAAGTAGCTAATGCTAGCAAATTCTGCTTAATAAAATAGGTAACACTAGCTAATTCTATGCCCTGCGATGGACTGGCGACCTGTCCAGGGTGTATCCTGCCTTCCGCCCAATGACAGCTGGGATAGGCTCCAGCACCCCACAGATGATGTGTGTGTGTAGCTAACTCTACTGCCTGAAAAAAGCTAATGCTAGCTAACTCTGCTACCTGAAAACAGCTAAACCTAGCTAACTCTGCTATTCTGCTAGCCTTGGTGCTGCTGCAAGTGAACGGCTAGACTTCTTTTCCCTCCACGTCTAAAGAGAAAGACACACAGCACCAACTAGTATCCCGAGTCTTTGCTGTTTATACTGGATTGAGAAGCAGAGCAACATAATTTGATCAAAAATGCCTCAAATGCTCGTTATTGATACTTATTGATCGTATTTTGATAATGGTTCTATCACGCGGGGCTGCTTTACAGGCCTCTTTATTATTTAAAGCAGATCTGATCAGTGCTGTGATGATGTTTTGTACGTGTGAAGGGTTTAAAGTCAGCGCCGGCTCCGTCACTCACCGATGATGATGGAGTCCACATTCCCAGCCATGAACATGGAGGTGTTCCGGGCATTCAGGTGGAAGTGCCGGGCGGCGAGGAAGGGCGAGAGCTGGGCGGTGTCAGTGGCAGATGTGGGCGGGGACTCTACGGGGAGGCTGTGTGAGTTAGCGTTAGCATCATTAGCCTCTTGGTCGGGCTGATCGGACCCAGCCTGGGCCGAGTTGGCCAGCTCGGGGTGTTTTATGACGACCCACTCGTAGCGCTCCATCTCCGGCTTCATCTGGAACACAGAGAGGCACACTGTCAGCTACCTCACTGTCCGTTACCTCACTGTTATCTCACTGTCCATCACCTCACTGTTCATTATCTCAATGTCTGTTACCTCATTGTTATCTCACTGTTCATCATCTCACTGTCCATTACTTCACTGTCCATCATCTCACTGTTATCTCACTGTTCATTACCTCACTGTTATCTCACTGTTCATTACCTCCCTGTCCGTTACCTCCCTATTATCTCACTGTCAATGACCTCGCTGTCCGTTACCTCACTGTTCATTATCTCACTGTCCGTTACCTCCTTGTTATCTCACTGTCAATGACCTCACTGTCCGTTACCTCACTGTTCATTATCTCACTGTCCATTACCTCACTGTTCATTATCTCACTGTCCGTTACCTCACTGTTTATTATCTCACTGTCTGTTACCTCACTGTCCGTTACCTCACTGTTCATTATCTCACTGTCCGTTACCTCACTGTCCGTTACCTCAGTGTTCATTATCTCACTGTCCGTTACCTCAGTGTTCATTATCTCACTGTCCGTTACCTCAGTGTTCATTATCTCACTGTCCGTTACCTCACTGTCCGTTACCTCACTGTTCATTACCTCACTGTCTGTTACCTCAGTGTTCATTATCTCACTGTCCGTTACCTCACTGTCCGTTACCTCACTGTCTGTTACCTCAGTGTTCATTATCTCACTGTCCGTTACCTCACTGTCCGTTACCTCACTGTCCGTTACCTCACTGTTCATTATCTCACTGTCCGTTACCTCAGTGTTCATTATCTCACTGTCCGTTACCTCACTGTCTGTTACCTCAGTGTTCATTATCTCACTGTCCGTTACCTCACTGTCTGTTACCTCAGTGTTCATTATCTCACTGTCCGTTACCTCACTGTCTGTTACCTCACTGTTCATTATCTCACTGTCCGTTATCTCACTGTCCGTTACCTCACTGTCCGTTACCTCAGTGTTCATTATCTCACTGTCTGTTTCCTGTTTCCAAATAAAACTCACTCTGGGCATTAATGGTGGTGCGACCGTCCAACCATACAGGCGTGTGCAAAAGTTTGGGCGCCCCGGTCAAATTCCACTTGTGTTGATTGTCTAAGTGTGAATAAGTGAACACGTCCTCTACAGAGACACACTACTGCACAATTTAATACACACTTACTGTTAATTAAGTTAATTTAACACACTGGGGAAAAAAACAATGTTAAATGGGCAGGCAGGTCAAACTGGGAAACTTCCAGGCCGAAGCACTGCGGAGATCAGCGTTTACCCTCATCTAACAGTCTGAACTCAGTTCATAAAGGCCTTGCTCATTAGCTGATGAGCTGAATCAGGTGTGTTTAACGAGGTCTGCGGTGTTTCGGGCTGCGAGGACTGGAGCCTGACACACCTTAAAGGGAGAGTTTCAGGTTGAGTTTTGGTGTTTAGTGTAATGATGAGTGCTGTTGACGAGGGCAGGATATAAGGTGTCTCTCTGAATGTACGCACTAATACACCTCAGCGCTTCTTCTCTGTGGTCACTATAAAGGCTGCAGGTCAAGGTCACCTTTGTTTTTATAGCACGTGTCAGGTAGTGCTGGACGATTTTCACGATTAATTCGGTTAATTCGAATTAACGTTTTCACATGATGTTAGAAATGTGACAGTCGAGATTGTACAAGTTTACATTGCTTATACTTTAATTAAAATACCAACAAAAACTACTCAAATGTGGAGCTGGTTTGGATTTGAAAAGTCAGATGTTGAACAAATTCATGTAGTGAAAGTTGTGTACGACGAATCTGTTCCAGCACTTACGACACAAACACCCGGCGGAACAGGAGCAATGAGTGAAACAACACGATGAAAATGAGGGAGTTTCAGTGCGGCTGGGAACATCGTTACCTGCCAGAGGGCGTCTCTCAGGCCTGAAACAGAAGACAGGCTCGTGTTCCTCTCAGGAAAGCTGTAAAGAACTTTGTGCTTTTGCACTTTTCTTAATGTCAGCAGGTCATGCTGGCACAGTACTTAAAGTGAGAGTTGCTTGTGAGCTTTAACCTTTTTAACTCCGTGAGACCACCGGTGGTTCCAAAACGCACTTCGTCATATTCTTAATAACTTTCATATTTCATAAGCTTCATTCTAAGGTGGGGGTCGTATGAGAGCTGTAACTGTCTTCTTTCCAGTCAAATAGATGGTGATGTAATTTTAAACCCTTATAATAAAAGAAGCTGAACTCACAACTTTTTGTGACCCATTTTTCCACAAATCTGGGCTATAAACTATAAACAGATGGCGTCTCTTCAGTGATCTGCTCTGTAAACATTATTTTTATAAAATAATACAAAGAGCGTCTGAGATTTTTGGCTTTCAGCAGTAAATTGTAAGCATATAGCAGTATGTGTGATCATAAAACACATGCTCTGTTAATTTGAGGGGAACTTTTACAAAAAATAAATAAATAAATAAAATAAAAATGTACATTTATTTCATGCAGTTACTGAATAATTTGCCTTACGATTTGGTCATGTAAATTCAGATGGACAAACCAAAATATACCCCGGTGAGTAAGAGGCCTGGTATTCTTAAAAGAATATCACTAATTAAGATGGTTCTTTTGTGTTTTAATTATTTAATTTTTTTTGGTTACAAATTTTGTTGTGCTTGCACAGTTTGAGTCCCTTGACAGGATTTAAAAGTAACCGCTATTTGCAGAATTTAATAATTATAGGTGGTGCTGTTACTATTTTTGCACTTCTGCAGTTTTTTAAATTAAAGTGCAAAAAAGAAACTGTGTCTTTTTTCAATGGCGTTATGCAAGAAAAAAAAACGGAATTGAGAATCGTTAATGAATTTGAAAATAATTGAGATTTTACTTTTTTGCAATATCGCCCAGCCCTAGTGTCAGACTCCAGTCCTCGTGGGCCGAAACACTGCAGACCTAGTGTCAGACTCCAGTCCTCGCGGGCCAAAACACTGCAGACCTCATTGAACACACCTGATTCAGCTCATCAGCTAACTATCAAGGCCTTCATGAACTGAGTTCAGAGTGTTAGATGAGGGTAAACACTGATCAGCTGACAGCACTGACAGCACTTTGGCCCAGAAGGTCCTCAGTTTGACACTCCTTTATATGATAACACTCAGAGTTAAAGTTAAATGAGAGCCGTGATCATAAAGTGACTGCAGTCCGCGTCCTGCTGACTGACCGTCATCCGGAGACGACTCGTCAGTCATGTGAGCCGAACATTTCCTCAGTTCTGTGGAGGGAGAACTGCTGCCCCCTGGAGGACAAATGGAGCACTGCAGCATGAAAACTTCCCTTCCTGGGATTTTCCAAATGATGTTTTTACTTCTGCTAAGTGTGTTAGTGAAGTTGTCCAGTTCCACTTCAGTCATTAACATTCGGTTCTATTTTCTGGGTTTAATGTCATTCACTCCTGTCTCTCTGGAGCTGTACACTCTTAAAAACATGGTTCCTCAGGGGTTCTTTAGTACAGGGAATGGCTCTACTTAGAACCATGAATACTCAAAGATCCCTTTGCGTGATTAAATGTACTTTGCTTAGCCTAAAGAAATAGCTAAGCTCTGAGTAACTTCTAGAACTGCAGTAGAACCTCTCAGAGTCCATCCAGCATCTCTCAGCAGAGGAACCTAAGTTTGTAGGACTCTGTTCTTGTCTTTATGGTCTAAAATAAAATAGTAAAGGGAATGGTTCTGTTTAGAACCATGAATGGCTCTGTTTAGAACTGTGAAATGATTCCTCAGACTGATGGAGGATGTGTTGTGTACGGTTCTATATAGCACCAAAAAGGGTTCTGCTGTTGTTATAAGCCTGACATTGTAATAATAGCAGAACCCTTTTTGGTGCTACACAGAACCATTTTCAAAAAGGGTCTACACAGAACCATATACAACACATCCTCCATCAATCTGAAGAACAATTTCACCATGCACAGAACCATTTAAGCATGAAACGGTTCCACAAAGAACCATTCCCTTTACTAAAAACCTTGAAGAACCATCTTTTTTGAAGAGTGTAACATTTTATTTTAGACCAAAATGAGAAGAACAGAGTCCTACAAACGTCAGCTCCCCTGCCAAGAGATGCTGGATGGACTCTGAGAGGTTCTACTGCAGTTCTAGAAGTTACTCAGAACGTAGCTAGATCTCTGAGCTGCTGCTTTTGTACTTAAACTCTAAAGGATATATATAACTAAAGGATATTTTGAGGGTTACAGGTTTAGGTTAACACCTTTTTATAGACAGAACAGTTACAGTTAATTTATGCAAACCGTGGAACTGATGGAAGTAAATAAATAAATAAATGAATGAATAAATAAATAATACCTAGATTAATGAAGATAATGTAGATTAATGTGTCACAAATTAATGCTGCACAAATTTCTTCAGAGCGCAGAACCACAGCCAACCTCAGCATATACACTTATATCAGCTCAGATATATACTTTCATTTGTGTGGCTTCACACTATGTTTTATACGGCTGGAATGATCTGTAACAGCTGTCAAATCGCTAAGTAGCATTTATCGTTTTTCTTTTTTCAGTTTTGATGCTTGACCGCTCTGCATTTTGCTCAGAGTCAGTGTGAAGAGGCTCTGAGTCTTTGTCGCCCTCCTCTGGCACAGATGGAAAGTGTTTCAGATGTGCTGTACAATACCTGTGATCTTAAACAACGAAAACATTGATATTTATCAATAATTATGTTCACATTTATAGATTTATTAAAATGCTTATCTTGTCAGTTTCTTACGTTTTTGTTACAGTATTTCTTTCCACTTCAGAAAAGTTTACACCTTGATTTTTTCTGTCTTTACGTATTACCTGTTCTATAGACAGTCATATAGTCATATTCTACAGATGAAGTCGTATTCCATACAGAGTCTCCTGTTCCACAGATAGTGCCCCATTCTACAGACAGTGTTTCTACAGATAGCGCCCTATTCTGTATGTTCTCTAAAGTGATGCTCTACAGACAGTGTACTCATTCTATAGATGTGTCCTATTCTATCTTTGTATTCTATAGAGCGTCTTATTCTACAGATAGCATCCTATTCCATAGACAGTGTCCCGTTCTATAGATGGGCTGCTATTCTATAATCAGAGTCCTTTTCTATAGACAGTGTCCCATTCTATAGATGGGCTGCTATTCTATAGTCAGAGTCCTGTTCTATAGACAGTGTCCTGTTCTATAGATGGGCTGCTATTCTATAATCAGAGTCCTGTTCTATAGACAGTGTCCCGTTCTATAGATGGGCTGCTATTCTATAATCAGAGTCCTGTTTTATAGGTCAAGTCCCCTTCTATAGAATAGCAGCCCATCTATAGAACGTGACACTGTCTATAGAATAGGACTCTGACTATACGATAGCAGCCTATTTATAGTCAGAGTCTGATCAGGGGTTCTCAACCTTTTTCACCCCAAGCCTCACCTGTCTACAACTTTAAAGCACAGCGGCCCACAGAAAAACTAAAATCAGCTTTTTTGGGGATTTTTTTTCATTGCTCACACTGAAAACCTGCGAATTGGGTCCTAAAAAATTCAGATTGTCCATTTGAACTCAGTCACAGAAACCAAAATTTTCATATGTTAAACATAATGAGGTTAAAATAAAACGTGTTTGCAGAGTCAGAAAAGGGGGAAAACGAAAAAAAGGCAGATGTAGATGTGGACCGTGATTTGGAGCTGAAAACACTCCTGTGTCTCCCACAGGAGTCACCGTTTGGTCTGGAGTCTCTTTAGTTTTACTCGACCTTACTTGATCTCTGCTTCTTTGGCTTACCAGTCTCAGTTTAACTCAGGTCGCTGATGTTCGGCCAGAAATAAAATACATCTCTTTGCTGCGATTTTAAGGCTCGGCTGTCGTTTTTAATCAGCTGCAGCTCGAGCTGCAGGAACGATATGAGAGTCTGTAAAGAGTCAGAAAAATGCTGCCGGTAAAGCGCTGACGTGCTGCTAGAAGAAGGGGAATGACAGCTCTACTGATGAACTTCCTCATTTCATCATAAAACGTGTCCCACCAGCAGCGAACTGAACAGGGTTTGGTTGGAAGCGGACTGAGACCCGCGGGTTTTGCCGGACCGGTTCAGCTGTTTGTTTCAGAGCCGAATATGGGTGGAATGTTCACTCACGTCAAAACGGCACAAACTACAGAAAAACATTTGACATGTTTGTACTGAACAAGGCAGGAGAAACACCCTGAGGAAGCTCTCCATCTCTGGCTGACTGTCTCCACTGAGTGTCCGTGGCTGCGTTGTCTCAAACTGATGACGTTTAATTAGCCTGAGACCGTGATGTTTTTATTTATACGTCTCTGTTAATATTTATATCGGTTATAACTTGGAAATGTTTGATTCTTTGATTTTATTTATTGGGTTAAGTTAATCTTTTTCCACTTGTGTTTTTATGACTTAGTGACGTTACCATCCCACTACGGACTACTGCCCCATGAAAGTGTCCCATTCTATGGATAGTGTTCTTATTTATGACTAGAGAACATGAAGGCCCACAGGAAAACAACACTTTCTTGCTTAAAAATGTCATTTGATTATAGATCACCATTCTGTATATAACAGAATATGTATGTATCTTTTCTAGACTGCGTCGTATTCTATAGATAGCAAGCAAGCAAAGTTTATTTATGTAGCGCTTTTTATAACAGGTGTTGTCACAAAGCAGCTTTACAGAAAAATCCCGGTCTGAGCCCCCATGGGCGTCGCCGATGGTGACAGTGGCAAGGAAAAACTCCTTAAGAGCAACAGGAAGAAACCTTGAGAGGAACCCAGACTCAGGAGGGGAATCTATCCTCCTCTGGTCAACACCGGACAGCAAACAGTGTCCTACAGACAGTGTGGAGTACTCACCCTGAAGACGAAGCACTCCCCCGTGCCGAAGTAGCTCAGCTTATTACCGCCCCTCTTCCTCTCCTCCCAGTCCGTCGACAGGAACGCCCCACACACCTGAACACAGAAACACACCAATCACAACCTGATAGTTTCCACGGCAACAGAACGGTGTGAAATTGCCATGGCAGGAGACAGACAGCTCTGAAAACTCAATAGCTCAACACACTTGAGCGTGAGAGAGAGAGAGAAAGAGAGAGAGAGAGAGAGAGAGAGAGAGAGAGAGAGAGAGAGAGAGAGAGAGGGAGGGAGAGGGAGAGGGAGAGGGAGAGGGGGAGAGAGAGAGAGAGAGAGGGAGAGGGGGAGAGAGAGAGAGAGAGAGGGAGAGAGAGAGAGAGAGAGAGAGAAAGGGAGAGAGAGAGAAAGAGAGAGAGAGAGAGAGAGAGAGAGAGAGAGAGAGAGAGAGAGGGAGGGAGAGGGAGAGAGAGAAAGGGAGAGAGAGAGAAAGAGAGAGAGAGAGAGAGAGAGAGAGAAAGGGAGAGAGAGAGAGAGAGAAGAGAGAGAGAGTATATTACCTCTCTGTCTGTGGTCTTGATTAGTAGCAGTGTGGGTTCATATCCTTCACAGTGAGAATAAAACCTGAAACACACACAATCAGCACAGAACACACGGCAAAGGTCGCCAAGTGCAGCATTATTATTATTGTTATTATTATTATTATTATTATATTTACATTCTGATCATTTTTATTTTACAATTCTGTCTTGTGAAAAAAGGAAGGCCCAGTACCAGCTGTGAATCTCTCCCATGTAAAAATGAAATCTTTTTTTATTTAAGCTGTTTCTGAACAGGTGTGTTTCCTGTTCTACAGTTCTGCTCCAGGTGGTGACTGGTTAGAACTACAGTAAAGAACCGTTAATAGCGTTCTGCTCATACAGCACCCTGGGCACTTATTAGACTGAGTAAAACTAAAATACTGAAACTAAATAACAATTATTATATATATTATACATATTTTATTATTAACCTATTTTTTTTCTTGTACTCTATTACCCCACAATAACACACATATATAACATGATGCTACTAAGCTGGGGTGGTGAAGTCTAGTGAGGTGATGTTCTTCCTCTGAGACGCATGAAGCTCCATCACATCCTCTCATACTGCCGCTAATGCAACGTCACCAAACAGCTCAACACGCTTGGAGGAGAACGCTAACTGCTAATCCTGCTAATCAGCTACAGATTCCTGCACTGCCTTGCATCATCAGTGAAAAACTCCCAGGGAACTCAGCGCCTCCCCTCCTCCTCCACCTGGTGCAGCGTACCTGTTTAAGCTGCAGCCGTGTGTCGATGTGGTGAACAGCAGCTGAGGTTGGCACAGAGCGAAGCGCTCAGGGATCCAGGACCAGATCTCCTTCATCTCCTTCGCGCTGACGATCTCCGAGCAGAAGTTCTCCGCGTTCACAGCTAACTGCACGTTACGCCTGTACAGAGAGAGATCTGAGCTCAGCAGATCAGGTCTGAACATCAGCTGTAGTGAGAAAGAGTGACTGAGCATTAGGGCTCGACTGATTCATCAGTTTTCCAGATAAAATCAGCTGATTAAGACTCCTCTGATTAATCAGTATTGATAAAAAAAGCCAAAAGGTTTTAAATATTATAAACTATGTTCTCCACAGTAAAGAGGGGAACAGTAAAGAGGGGAACAGTAAAGAGAAGAACAGTAAAGAGAACAGTAAAGAGAAGAACAGTAAAGAGAACAGTAAAGAGGAGAATAGTAAAGAGAAGAACAGTAAATAGAACAGTAAAGAGGAGAACACTAAAGAGAGGAACAGTAAAGAGGAGAACACTAAAGAGAGGAACAGTAAAGAGAGGAACACTAAAGAGGAGAAGAGTAAAGAGGAGAACAGTAAAGAGGAGAACAGTAAAGAGGAGAAGAGTAAAGAGGAGAACAGTACAGACGAGAACAGTAAGGAGGAGAACAGTAAAGAGAAGAACAGTAAAGAGAAGAACAGTAAAGAGGAGAACAGTAAAGAGAGGAACACTAAAGAGGAGAAGAGTAAGAGAGGAACACTAAAGAGGAGAAGAGTAAAGAGAGGAACACTAAAGAGGAGAAGAGTAAAGAGGAGAAGAGTAAAGAGGAGAAGAGTAAAGAGAGGAACACTAAGAGGAGAACACTAAAGAGGAGAACAGTAAAGAGGAGAACAGTACAGACGAGAACAGTAAAGAGGAGAACAGTAAAGAGGAGAAGAGTAAAGAGAGGAACACTAAAGAGGAGAACAGTAAAGAGGAGAACAGTAAAGAGGAGAAGAGTAAAGAGAGGAACACTAAGAGGAGAACACTAAAGAGGAGAACAGTAAAGAGGAGAACAGTAAAGAGGAGAACAGTACAGAGAGGAACACTAAAGAGAAGAATAGTAAAGAGGAGAACAGTAAAGAGGAGAATAGTAAAGAGGAGAACAGTGAAGAGGAGAATAGTAAAGAGGAGAATAGTAAAGAGGAGAACAGTAAAGAGGAGAACAGTACAGAGAGGAACACTAAAGAGAAGAATAGTAAAGAGGAGAACAGTAAAGAGGAGAACAGTACAGAGAGGAACACTAAAGAGGAGAACAGTAAAGAGGAGAACAGTAAAGAGGAGAACACTAAAGAACACGGTAGATAAACTTCAGATAAACCAACCTAATGAGAGCTGAACAGGTGACAGGCTGGTTGGGGTCTCTTTCTCTTTGTATTGCGGTTTTGGTCTTGGTTTCAGAATTGTTACACCTCTGAACAGTAGCAGGTGATGTACCTGTTGAAATTCTTCTTAAGGTGTTGACTTTTGTCATTACCGTTATACCGGTAGTTTCCTCATTACCGTTATACCGGTAGTCTCCTCATTACCGTTATACCGGTAGTCTCCTCATTACCGTTATACCGGTAGTCTCCTCATTACCGTTACACCGGTATGCAGATAAATTCAGATTAATCAACGTTCAAACAGTGCAGACACGCTGACTCCCTCACCTCTCGTGTAGCGGCTGCAGCCTACGGTCAGTTGTCCATTTTATCAGCTCCACTTACTATATAGGTGCACTTTGTAGTTCTACAGTTACAGACTGTAGTCCATCTGTTTCTCTGATACTTTGTTAGCCCCCTTTTACCCTGTTCTTCAGTGGTCAGGACCCCCATGGACCCTCACAGAGCAGGTACTATTTGGGTGGTACACCCAAACCACGACGTCAGTGTTACTGCAGTGCTGAGAATGACCCACCACCCAAATAGTACCTGCTCTGTGAGGGTCCATGGGGGTCCTGACCACTGAAGAACAGGAAATCAGTCCTGATGACAGAAACGTTCACATCAGTTGAGCCCTAATGAGTGTTTAACACAGTAACACATTAGAGAGGAGCGAGTGCTGAAGGTGCTGATGATGAAGATGAGAGAGAGATGAAGAGTACCTGATGCTGAAGGCAGGAAACACAGGAACAAAAGGAAGGATGACGGATGACAAAACGGAAAAGAAAAGCAGTGAAGTGAGAAACGAAAGGAAAAGTCAAACTCAAGTTCAGACAGACAGAGAGAAGCAGACAAACAGGTTCACAGCAGTGTTTCTGATGTAAACAGAACCAGCGGCGTGAAACAGGAGGTTCTGCGACACAGATAAGCTCCCTGACTGACTGCTCTGTGGATAAGCACGTCTCTTACTGACGGGAGCAGACTCGTAATGTTTATAAACTCTCTATTAGATTAACTGCTGCAGATCTGATGTTTAAATGATCAGTTCTGTAAACTATTTTTAAAAAGTCCCCATTTTTACCCCTAAAATGAGCTCCGTTATCAAAGGCACGTTTACCGTCTGAAGTCTACATCTTTGGTCTTAGCACTGGAGATAGCTTTGAGGCTAATGTGGCTAATAACACATGAATGTACATGTGGGTAATGAGCTACACCGTGCTAAGTATGTTATGGATCAGTGATGGTCTTTAGATTGAAGCAGTTGATGTGCTGTGATAAGCTGCTGATCACTGTAAGGCCAGAAACATTGAACACGAGTACGCAAATGCAAATGACCGCACTCAGCCAACACACGGCAAACGCTCGGCCCTTCGGTACAAACTCCCCGTGCGCTCTTACGTTACTGTGGCAGCTAAACACTCAGTCCTGAAGGGGGTCGCTAGAGGACAAATCAGAGAGGATCTACTGTTGCTCCCGGAGGATCAGCTTCATCTTCACCAGCATCACAGGAGCCATCATGAAGCTCCACTGACTGACAGCTGGGCTCATCAGCCAGAATGTGTTCGAGCCGTAAAAAGGGCGCGGTCACTTCTTTGGTTCGCGTCCTCGGATTCTTTAAACTTTGCTTTAGGCTTTTAACTGTTCTCTGACGCTGCAGCCTCGTTCTCCTGCGGCGTGTTCGGACATTTCTTTAGAAATCTCTTTGAACACGGGGGGTTTCGGATGAGTCTCTAATAATTTCTGTACAGAAATATCAGCCCAGATGTTTCTGAGTCTCAGGAGTGCGAGATCATGACGAATGTCGAGTTGGACTGACGTAAAGCCACGTGAATTCCGATCTGGCTGTTTAGACGAATTACATTAAGATATGCAGAACATATTTACAGTACAAACCTTGTCAGTGAACTATGAGGGTAAAAAAAAAAAACAAACAGAAAAAACAAAAACAATATAATCGTTCATTAACTATAATCGAGGTAAAATATTTAATAAATCGTCATACTGATTTGAGGCCATATCGCCCAGCACTATTAGCTTATATTCCTTAATTACTATTACTGCTACATTAGCCTCGTAGCTCCAGTGCTGAAACTAAAGGAGAAACTTCAGACCCCAAACACGACTCGACTGATCAACTAGATCCAGTGTAAGAGGGGAAACTGTGAGTAAAGTCTACCTCTTTTACAGCAGCATGACCATTCACAGGCCTCGGCTCTCCAGCATTAAACACTGATCAATGAGATTGATGACTGATCACTGATTACTGCTGTACCTCTTCTGTCGGACGGTGATGCCCTTCTGCTGAAGGGATTTCTCGTTGGCCAGCTGCAGCAGGGTGATCTCTTTACGGCTGAACAGTCGGATGGAAAACGCTTTCTCCAGCAGTTTATCAGGAGTCACAGAGCTGCTGATGCCCCGCACAAACGCCTGCGGGCAGGACAGGGGGGTTATCAATACGGACACTCTTATCAATACAGCTTACCGTATTTCTTTTTCTTAACACACAAAAATATAAAAAAATAAAAAAATATATAAATCTTATTATTTGTTTTAGGCCTATATTGAAAATAAAACTGTGTTATATTCTATGTATCTCATTTTTTTTTATTTTTGACTTGATTTGAAAATATCAGCTGTGTATTACACTGTGTTAAAATTTCATAAAAAAAGCTGCTCAGGGAATTTGAGACTGAACTCACTCACTGTTTACCAGGCTGCAAACACGGCCAGCAACAGAAACAATCCAAACAAACTCTCAGCTCAAAATATCAGATGTCAGAAAAAATTAATGTGACATATCACATGGCGAAAACTGCTTGAACTATCGTGACATTATATTTTCGGCATATTGTCCCCCCCCCGGATACTGGGGGTCCATCCTTACCTGGATGTCAGCTTTGACCCCCGCCGAGTCCTGCTGGGTGGTGGCTCCCCCCGCGGCCTTGTGCTTCCTGTAGAACTTCAGGATGGCCAGAGCGACGCGGTACAGCACCTTGTACCCCTCCACCAGGAACACGTCCATCACCCTGGCGGCGTGGGAGAAGGGCAGGTCCCCTAGAACCCACCGCTGCCAGTCCGCGTACACCTCCAGCACGTCCGTCGCTGCGGCAACCATCAGCTTGTGGGCGGCGGGGCAGTACTTGTGGGCAAGGTCGCCGAAGGTCATGCAGGACGACTGGTAGGCCAGGAAGGTCTGGTCCAGCATGCGGCGGCCCGGCTCGTTGCAGGCCAGCAGGCGGCCCACGGCCTCGAAACACTGCGACTCGTCCGGGCTCCAGTGCAGCATCAGCGCCACCACTGCGGGCAGCGCCGGGCAGTGGGAAACGTCCGGGAACTCGCCCGCCACGCAGGAAATGATGGCGTGAACCGAACCGGCGGCCTCCGGCTTCAGGCAGTAGAGCGGCACCGCGGCTCCGTCCACAAACTCGGGAAGAGGGAAGTTCGCCGGGTTCCGTTTGCTGCTGGAGTTTCCCACTATGTCGCGGTAAACGGCGGCGTCGGCAGTGACCGCACGGCAAGGCAGGGCTTTGATCAGCTGCCGGTACACTAGCGCCCTCTGGGGGTGGTTCTTGGCCCACTGGCCCGAGCGTGCGTGCTGCTTCAGCTCTTTCAGGGTCTTTATACTCGGTCTTACCGGCGGGAGCATCGCGCGAAACGTCTCCCATCTGAGCCCAGTCCAGAAACACACCGAAGTCCTCCTTCTCCTCCGCCGCCATGACCTCTGACCTCTAGGAGCACACGCTCGTCCAACTGATCAGCCAGAGAGAGAGAGAGAGAGAGAGAGAGAGAGAGAGAGAGAGAGAGAGAGAGAGAGAGAGAGAGAGAGACTAACCACCCATAACGTCCTCCACTGCAGAGAAAAGGAAGAGAAACACATCACTGTCAGCACAAAAGCTCGTATCTGTACATCCTAAATGGCAACTTCATATAAAAGGGCAAAAACAACAGTTTTGATTGCAATTTAATGGAACATGATTTATTCCAAGTGATTCTGGACCATTTCTATTTGTCCATTCAGCATAAAATTAGACCTTAAAATTTGTTCAGTCAGGCACGAACTTCGGTCCAGTCCCATTTCACCCCTCGCCCCTACCGCTCAGCCCTACCCCTCTGTTTTGTGCGTTCTCGTTCTAGGGGTAGGCTGTCCTGATTCTTATTGAGATAGAGGGGGAGGGCGAAGTGTTGGGACTACATGACCCTCCAAATGGAGGTGTTTCAGAGACTCCAAACAGAGAGTTATGAGAAAAAAAGAAAAACCGGCGAGATGGAGAACAAGAGACCAAAGAAACCCACAAATGTGAGAATTTTCTCTGATAAAAAACTACAATAATCACTGTATCATCTCGGTTTAATGTGGTTTCAGTGTATTTTGGTTATTTTCTTTGTAACAAATATAAAAACTGCTATTAGTATGCTAATGTTTCGGTAGCTAGCTAACTTTCCCGTTCCACCTTAAATAGTCCAGCAGTTCTGACGCCTGAAGCGCCAGAATGTAACTGCTGCTCCATTTAAGGTGGAACGGGAAAATGTGAACAAGAAGCTGGAGAATATCTGACTTCAGCTTCATATCACTCAAGAATTAGGGGTGGGTGATAATAAATAATTGCCCCCCTCTTTGAAGTCATATGATGCCCTAAATGTAACTAAAGCCCAGCAGTGAGGAGCTGAACTTTACCCTCCTCTGCTGTCACTGCAGACTGGCAGGGTCGCCTACAGAGCAGCGCTGGTAGCTGTTAATGAAGTGATGCTCTTTTTATTTGAGGGTCTCATTTCAGAGGGAAGATTTCAACCACTACCCTGTAACTCAGTTGCAAGGGACCAAAGAAGCTTGGGTCAGATTCAAGTTTCATGTTTGGATTCTCACAGAGTGAAATATTAAAAATGTCTGCGTGACACTAAAATTGAGTGTTAAACTGTACACAGATCAGCCGTAACATTCAAACCTCCACGTGTCTACAGAATTGACCTTGAGGAGGAGGTTCCAATGTTCTGGCTGTTCTGTCTATATTCAGAAAAGTTTGAATGAAAAAACAAGACAGAAATATAATAAAACATGACTTAAATTAACTGATCAGCCCTATCTGAGAACTGTGTGGGTGTGGCCTATTATTCTAATGAGCATACTTGATTGACAGCCCTCAGTCCAATGCTCCCAGCCTGCGACTCACTGAACTAAACACAGGTGGAGTAAGTGAAACAGGCTCTACATATAGAGGTGGTGGAGACCCCCACTGTGTCCACTCACTACAAACACCATCCAGCTTTTAGGCCTTTATGGAGAACCTTAAAGAAGGTTCTTATTCACTTTACTGCTGGATCTACTTCTAGACAATGCTGGCTGCTGAATGAACTGATGAACGAACAGATGACAGGCAGACAGACGGACAGGCAGACAGACAGATAAGCAGACAGACCGACAGGCAGCTTGAGAGCTCAGTGTTTTTGCTTGGTTAGCTTCCGCTTGGTGGTTAGCTGTCTCTGTGTACGGCTCTCCAACTCAAACACAGTTAGACTGTAGGAGAACACGACAATTCAGACGATTTTTCTGATTAATATTGCGACTGTGATTTAAACTGCGATTGTTTTCTGTAAACTGAAGTCCAGCCTGTTATTTTGCCCAAGAAGACCAGAACATCCACTTTGTCTGTCTTGAGACTTTAACACTGATCGTGCCAGACTGCCAATTAATTGTGGTTGTGATGTCACAAACATATCGCTGCTGTCGGAAGAAAACCTCGTATCTCCATTTTTGTCATTTTTAAGTTTTTTGACATATCTTGAAAAAGCCTGTTGGCCTTTATATTATATCTAAATTTCATTACAAATGGACCAAAAGAAACGGCCCAAAATTGCTTGTAAAAAGTTCTGGTTCCATTGACTTACATTAAAAGTAAAGTAGGTTTTTTCCTTCTCCTGTAAAGTTACCATTTTGGAGATACGAGGTTTTCTTCTGACAGCAGCGACATAGTCGTTTGGTTGCTTCTGACTGGTCTAACTCATCTACAGGCAGTTTACAAGCTCTGATATTAGGTTAATGTTCACCGATTAAGACAATATTGTTAATAAACAATGGCTATAATTAAAATTGCGGCTCTTGAGATAAAAAAATGGTACACTTTTAAACTGCGATTTTGACAGAAAAATTATTAATCTTTCAGCCCCAGAAATCAGGCAGTGAATTCATAACCATCTCATGTAGGAACTTTCTGTGAGGGAGCTTTTAGAGGTGGACGTCTGGTTCCTATCACCACCACTGTGAACAGTTCTGAATCAGTAAGTTTCTCTAGAACAGAGCGTTTCACACCAAACCTCTCTGAACCAGTCTGAACCGCTCTGAACCACTCTGAACCGCTCTGAACCTCTCTGAACCTCTCTGAACCACTCTGACAAGTCTGTTTACATCTTAACTGTTTAATTATGTAGAAACGTAGAAAAATCTGATGAGTTCCTCTTTAACTGACTTTACCCTGCTTTACTTTACCTCCTTACTGTCCTCTTCCTCTCTACTTTCACTATCTTAAAGCAGTTTTAATCTGCCCTGCTGGAGTCACTCACTCGAGGCCCACGTTTATGGGAAAATGGGTAGAAATCAAACAGGAGACGATGGTTTAGCCAAAGCGGTGTTCATCAGACTGCTGGACATCACATGAGGTTTGCTGATTGTTTTATTATATCATTTTATTTATCCGTAATCAAATGAAGGCTATTATAGTGTCTGCACAGTGAGGGGAGGTTCTGAGGTTTTTGTTGGAGTCTGATCAGTTTTAGACTCAGAACTAGGAGTGGTGGGTCGGGCTCGGCTGTATTCGGACCAAATGTTCAGGCCTGATCAAAGCTCTGTATGAAAGGTTCACACAATGTAAACAGCAGCTGGAGATCAAGTTCTGAAAAAACAACAACAAAAATGAAGATACGAGGTTCTGTTCAGACAGTGAGAGTGAGAAGTACTGCCTGTCGAAAGTTTGGGTTTCAGTATGTTATTTTAAATAATACTACACGAGTATGAACTTCTACATTACCCAGTACACTGTTAGTAATAAAGGTTCTGTTCAGGTACATTTTTCGTTTATCAAGGTACAAACAGTGTAAATGTTCCCTCAAAGCTCCAACAGTGGTTTTAAGGTCTGATTGTGAACCTTAAATAAGTTTCTCCAGGTGAAAAGTTCGTATTTGTACCTTTTCATAACCGAATGTTTTAAACAGAACAGTAAAATAAAAACCTGGAGACGAGACGGGGTGTGTGGAGTCAGTACAGCTTAGAACATATCATTTCAGTGGATTATGGTTCAGTTATGTTCCCTGACTAAAGGAACTGAGATGTACCCTTGAGGGTTCCACCCCAGTGACAAGAGGGGAACTGCCCCAGAGACAGTTTAGCACCTTTATTCCTGAGAGTGAACGAAACTGTGACACTGTGACTTCACTGCCTCACTCCTGTGTGATGATTAGAGGCTGTAGCGTCAGAGAGGAAAAAGAGAAACGGAGAGAAAAACATACGTGTGTTGCGTAACGGCGCTGCTCGCTCCCTCGGGATGATCTGTGTGCATGTTTTTGTGCACATTTGCGAGCGAGGAACGCTCCAACCGCATTAAACAATTACGCTTTATTAGATTTTTACAGACAGGAAACCGTCTCCCTTTCCCTCTGCTCTTCTCCTCCTTCATCCTGATAGCTTTTTCCTGACCACCCCCCTCCACCCCCCACCCCACTTTAAACCAGGGTAGCACAAGGCTAAAAGAATTTGGATTGTTTTTGCTACAAAAACTGAGTAGATTCGTCAGGTTTGATCAATAAATAAATATCTCTCTTTAGCTGTAATTAGGGCTGGACAATATGACGATATTGATCATTATTGTGATTATTTAAGTCGCCACATGCTTCTCTGAGCACATCGTGGATACTGTCAGTACTTTTATTAAAAAAGAGGGCTAATTATTCTGGCTTAATTGGATTTAGTGCTGTGCGGTATGCAAAATGTTGAATAAAAATAGTAGTTTTGATGGTTTAAGTGTTTAAATGTGGCATTTCTGGTTGTTTTTTGGCTGTTCCAACATATCAAACCTCAAAAAACCCAAAATGCCATGATGTATCGTGTATCAAGAAATTATTGTGGTATCATATTTTTGCCATCCCCCACCTCTAACTGTAATGAATGCTCCATAACCTACATTCACAGCTTACACAGGTTTAAATACACTCTTACTGAAGCGCAGCTCTAGATTCAGCGTTAGCCACTGCCAAAAGTGCAACTAGACCTGTTACCATTAAGAAATTTTAGCTGACCATTAATTATCATATTCTCACTGACCAAAGAAAAAACAACTTTACAGGAAAGGGCAAAAACAGTCTTAACTTTCAATGGAAGTTAATGTAAAAATGTTTCATGCCAAGCAATTTTGGAGCTTGGAAATTGGAGCTTTTTCAGACATCTGATTGGTGGGAACAGAGAAAAAGACCCTGTATTTTAAAAATACTATCAAAAACTGTGAACACAGTGATTTTTATTCAGTATTTGGCACTAAGTCCAGTTAAACAGGACTAATTTTGCTCTCTTTACAGTGAAACATGCAGTTGGTCAGTGATTACAAGTACTGACGATATACAGTATGTTGAGAAAAGCACACTGTATAGTATTGTGACATAATTTATCACAATAACTGAAATGAAATGAACCTTTTAGCCAACTGTGTCTGAACACATCGGAATTAGACCTCCGCATTTAACCCATCCGTGCAGTGAAACACCACATACACACTCGTGAACACACACACTAGGGGGCAGTGAGCACACTTGCCCGGGGCGCTGGGCAGCCCTATCCACGGCGCCCGGGGAGCAGTTGGGGGTTGGGTGCCTTGCTCAAGGACACTTCAGTCACGTACTGTCAGCTGAGGGGATCGAACCGGCGACCTTCCGGTCACAAGGCTGGTTCCCTAACCTACAGCCCATGACTGCCCCCTGTCACACTGCCCAGCCTTACAGTCACCCAAGACATGTTTGGTGTCTGAAGCTTCTTCAGTCTTAGGTCTGGAGTTACGAGGCTGGAATGGAAGCTTATTAGCGATTAGCATGGTGCTAACTGGATAGCTAAATCATCTCGCGCTCGTCTCAGACTGTGCGGAGGCGATCAGCATCTCTAATAAACTTGATTCTGTGGTTTCTGACTCTATGACTCACACTGCGCCCCAACTGTGCACTTAGTATTAATACTAACTAGTGTTTGAGTATGTAGTATGTAGTACAGTCACAAGTGTCAAAGTTGAGTATACTCAAAAATCCACAATGCAGACTTAGAACCAGTCGGTTTTTGAGTATAGTCCACTGTAGTCGTGCGTCATTCTGTAGTCGTTATGCCCATATTAGGAACTTTGGGTCTGAGCTCCATTTCTCTATGGCCAGAATGAATAGAGTTTTCGAAAAGTCGTCTCTAGCGCCCCCTGTGTTAAATAAACATGTTCAGAACCCGATATGTTCTGTCCTGTGAAGATTCTTCTCTCGAACATCACTGGATCCTCTGAATTACGAGGTCGTATAGAGCTATAATACTAATATTGCTACATGCGAGCTAAAGCTACTGCGCATGTATGCGATGTCACTAAGCTACATGAATCTAAGCCGGGCTGTGCCGCTGCTCTGACGAGCTGTGCTACCTCATCAAAATGTTCTACCGTAGCGCATAATTACAGGTATATCCGTAAATAAAACCTCTAGGTGGGATATTTTGATAGGTCAAAAATACTACCCGTGTTAAACTACGAGGCTGAGTTTAGCTTCTTTTTTTGCAGCCTCTTGTTTGAATGTTCCCGTTCCACCTTAAATGGTGCAGCAGCTGTGACTGGCTATCACAAACATCAGCAAATGAGACAAAATACTGACCTGTCGGTTCTAAAAAGGAAAGTTAAGTTAATGTCTCTCAGCTGTTAAGCAGGAATAGAGAAACCTCCTCATATCAGGCCTTTCAACCCTCCATGAAGCTGAACTCAGCTTCTGTTTCTCCGGCTGCTTGTCCGAATTTTCCCGTTCCACCTTAAATGGCGCAGCAGTTCAGAACGTGACTGCTGCACTATTTAAGGTGGAACGGGAAAAGTCGAACAAAAAGCTGACGAATGTCCTGAGAAAAATGTTCCCAGCATTAAAATAACGATGAGGACATTCTGAGAGCCTAAATCAGTTTATCAGGGTGAGCAGGGATCATTAAGCCGAGTCGGTACCGAATCAGCCCGAGTTCAGGTTCGTCTGTAGAACTTTTCAAATCCAGCTAAAAGGAGAGATCTATCGGGTTTCACTGAGCATCAGGTGAAGAACAGAGAGCTGCAGGGAAACCTGCTGATTCTGTTCGGACTCCTTTTCATTTCCCCTCAGGCTGAACATGGAAATGTGCGCTGCCTAAACCCGCTTAAGGAGGCCGCCAGTCTAATGACGGGAATTCAGAGCGCAGTAGCTTCAGCTCACATGGAGCAATATTCATATTTCAGCTCTTTAACAGTCTCGTAACTCAGAGGAACAAAAAAAAACGCGTTAAACTTACTAATGTTTTCATTCGTCAGCGTTTGTTTGTGAACGCACGTTAATTTGTTGGCGAGCCTTCAGAGTGCAGCTTGCTATGATGTGCGTTGTCATAGCAACGGTTCGTCACTTCCTGTCAGTAAGAACGGCGTAGTATGTTAATATTTTGTGTACTAACCTGTCGAGCTCACACTATTAAGATTATTATGCAGTATATACAGTATAGTATTAGTGCGTAGTACACAATTAGGACGCAGCCTCACTGTCATCTATAAACACGGACTAAAGTGCATTAGCACGAAGCTAAAAACATTAGCAGCCTGAATTCGGCCTGTCGTTAGTCCATGTTTACAGTTCATGCCGAGTCAGAAACCACAAAATCAAGTCTATGAGATAGAGGTTACTGGACCACTTCCCTCGGTCTGAGGTGGGTATGTTATCTTTTAGCAATGCTGTTAGCACCATGCTAATTGGTGGAGTATAAGCTTCCATTAACTGTTCGCTACATAAGCCTCGTAGCTCCAGAGCTAAAGCTACAGAAGGAAACTTCAGACACAAACACGTCTTGGTCGACTGATTGTTTGGGGTAGCAGAAAGAAAGCCGGGGGAAATTTTACATTTTTTGGCGAAACATCACTTTAAAAGATCCCATATCACGGAAAACTGAAACTTCTCAATATTCTCAAACAAAAGTTTGACACAGTATGTAAACTGAAGTTTCAAAACCAGTCCAGACCGTCAATAAGTGGCAACTATGCTGCCAAAACAGCCCGTTTTGAATTTAACAAAACATTTTGTGATGTCACAAAACTATTCAGCCTACAGCTGCTTAGCCCCGCCCACTCACACTGAAGTTATGAGGAGTGTTTCACTCCGGACTGTTTGTTGAATGGCAGTGCAGCCAATACGAACAGAGCTCATTTGCATATTCAAACACACATTTTACACAAAAAATGTCTCTATTTTTGCCGAGATTTTTCTACACAAATTAAACACAGCAACTGTCTTTTACAATGAATCAACAGAAAATCTCCAAAATACGTACATTAAACACCTTTTAAGCCATTTAAGGCGGAACAGGGAATTCAAATGAGAAGCCATTTAAGGTGGAACGGGAAATTCAAATAAGAAAGTGGCGAATGAGAAGCCATTTAAGGTGGAACCGGAAATTTGAATAAGGTGGTGGCGAAAGTGAGGCCATTTAAGGTTGAATGGCAGTGCAGCCAATATAAACAGAGCTCATTTACATATCCAAACACATATATTACACATCCCCAAAAAAATTCTCTATTTTTGCAGATTTTTATCTTTCTACAACATGACAACTGCCTTTTACAATGTATGAATCAACATAAAATACGTAAATTAAAAATCTTTTATTTTGCCTTTTCCTGTTAACTTATTATTTTGGAGACGGCGACGATACATCAGTTTTAAAGGCACAATAGCCAAACTTTAAGGGATAAAGAGAGGCTGCAAAACAGTTATTGGTACATAAACCCAAACAAACGTTAAAAGCAGAGCTTCTACAGGAAACGTGGAATACGAGCCCTTTAAACACCTTAAACACAGGCTGAACCACAGGACAAAGGCGCAGGGTGGTGGACTGTGCGGCTGTCGTGTCACGGTGCACGTTACATGAGGAAGGCTCAGGTAAGGCCCGCTGAGCCTCTTACCGTAGAGGAGTCAGCTACGGTGGGCCGCCAGCACGGCAGGGTCTTAATCACATTACAGAAACCAAAGAGCAACAGCAGCAAACGGCCAGCACCAATGCCTCCAGAACTGACCATCCAACATTACCAATGCTCTTGTAGCTGAATGCAATCAAATACTCACAGCAATGGTCCAACATCTAATGTGAAGCCTCCCCAGAAGAGCAGAGGCTGTTACTGCAGCACAAACTCCCCATTAACACCCTTCACTTCAGAAGAAACTCGTACAGAAGGCCAATCAGACGGGAGCGCTGAGGAGAGCCGCATCATCACTGCTGGTCAGCTGCACGAGCCGTAAGCCTGGGCTTATTATAAACAGACTTAGCTATAAGCCCAGAGATGAGGACAGGTGATACTGGAGCCAGTGGCCTTCATGCACAGGTAGGCAGGTGGGCACTGCTGCTGCAGGTAGGTCAATAATACACCAAAGCAGGGGGAGCTGCTTCATATCGAGCATTAAGAGACCCTCGACCTCTGTTCACCTGTCAGTGTCGAGACAGCAATGCAGTGCGCCAAAACCTCTGAGAATTTCCCGTTCCACCTTAAATGGCTTCTCATTTGAATTTTCCGTTCCACCTTAAATAGTGCACCAGTTACATTCTGGCGCCTGTGACTGCTGCGCCGTGAGAAGGTGGCGAATGAGAAGCCAGTAAGGTGGAACGGGAAATTCGAATGAGAAGCTATTTAAGGAGGAACGGGAAATTCAAATAAGAAATTTCAATAAGGTGGCGGCGAATTGAAGCCATTTAAGGTGGAACGGGAAATCTGAATAAGGTAGCAAACGAGAAGCCGTTCAAGGTGGAACGGGAAATTCGAATACGACGGTGGCGAACGTGAAGCCACTTAAGGTGGAACGGGAAATTCGAATACGAAGGCGGCGAACGTGAAGCCACTTAAGGTGGAACGGGAAATTCGAATACGAAGGCGGCGAACGTGAAGCCAACTTGTCATTCGTCACCGACCTCATGCATGAGCCATCAGGTTAAGGTTAAGCAGCTGAAAGTGATCTGTAGCCTGACTGACAGCTGTCAGTCACTGAAACGGCGCTGGACACGCTGGACGTTCTGCACAGACCCGCCGCGCTGCCCGTCTGTCTGCGGCTCTGTTAGCCTTTAGCGCGCTCACACCGCACTGTAACCCGAGCAGCGCGGCGCTGAAGGACGGACTGAGCCCTGCCCTCATCCCCCCGGGGTCCGCAGACGCCGCGCGGCCCCGTTAAAGCGTATTTTTCGCTCCTACCTGCTCGGATTTACTCCCGCTGCCTCCAAGCCGCCTTCATTTTCAGGCGCTGCGCGCATGCGCTGTGCGCCCTGACAGCTGCCGCGCATGCGCGGCTCTGCTACTGCTTCAAATTATGAGCAGATGTTTCTCAAAATAGCCCCAAAATATACTATTTATTTATTTATTTATTTACTGATACTGAACAAATATTATAGATTATTATAAACAATTATTATAGTTTACTACAGGATACTGAACAAATATTATAGATTATTAAAATAATTACTCTTTGATTATTATATAACATCACTACAGGAATATTATAATACAGATTGCTCTAGATTTGTATTATAGAAATCTCAGGCATTTGTAGACATCTTTTAGTTTCCTATAAAACTGTGACTGGGACGTATGTCATCATTGCTATAGCAACAGCTGAGAGTAATAACAGTAATGCAGATGATATTTGTTCATTGCTGTGCCTGTAGGCGCTGTAAATTAAATTAAATGAAATTAAATTAAATTAACCGTTGACCAAACTGTCTGAGTGTAAATGAGTGAACACATCCTCTACAGAGAACACACTACTGCACATTTTAATGCACAGTTACTGTTTATTTGCTGAATTGAACATATAGGGAAATATACATAAAGAGATAATAGCGTGATAAAACATGGCTTGGGAAAAAGTAATGGCACATTTTATATTTCATGATTTATTTGGTCTAAATATGTTAAACTCTGCACATAAATAGAAATTCTGCACTAAAATGCCATTTTTAAGTGTGTTTCCTGTAGAGAACGTGTTGAAAATACAGAGAATGTAAAAAAATACATGGTATTTGCATATGACTGTAAATATCATGCATTTAATTCAGGGTCTGTAGATTTTCAGTCTGTGTTACTTACTTCATCTGAATATAACACGTAGCATGTTTTACATCATATAAATCACATATTATATCACATTATATAAATTATATCACGTTATATCACATCTGAGTCCAGTGAGGAAGGACCCTGAAGACTCCACAGCGCTCTAATCTGTTTAAACGTTTCCCTCTGTTTCCCTTCACCCTGTTCTCTCACTGCGCTGCTGCTGATCATGTGCTTTGGGAAGATCCCTGTCTGAGCTACTTCTCGTTACAGGTCACAGTCTGACAGATGACACTCAGCCTGCAAGGTCACTCTGCCCTGCAGGGTCCACTGCCGTGGAGCTCCCAGTACACCTCTGGAATTTACGTTAAGAGACACAACAGCCTAGGTGTTTGATCTTTTGAGCTCTTGACAGGTCCTTCCTTAAGCTCTGAACATGCCCATAAGGCCAGGCCTCGCTGCTGTGGCATCCTCAGCCCTCAGCGGTGGAACTTCCCCCTGGACTCCTCACTGCACTGCACAGTCACTCTGTTCCTTCCACTGTGGTCTGCAGACTCATCTCCTATGGCAACACCCACTCTCAAAAAAGATGGCTCTTCAAAGGCAGTACACAAAATGGTTCTATGTAGAACCATGAACACTCAAAGAACCCATGGCGTGATTAAAGAGTTCTTTGCATTGTGGAAGCGATCTTCAGATTGGAGAATGTGCTGTAGATGGTTCTATTGGGAACCTTTTTAAAAAGGGCTCTGCTATTGTTATGATGTCAAGCTTGTAACAGTAGCAGAACCCTTTTTGGTGCTATATAGAACCATATACAACACATTCTCCATCAGTCTGAAGAACCATTTCACCATGGAAAGAACCATTTAAGCGTGTAATAGAAGAACACTTTTTTGGTACTACATAGAACCCCTTTCAAAAGGTTCTACCTAGAAACCATATACAATACATTTTCCATCACTCTAAAGAACGATTTCGCCATGCAGAGAACCATTTAAGCATGCAAATGGTTCTATGAGTGATCAGTACATAACTATTGTCTTTACTAAAGAACCCTTGAAGAACAGCCTTTTTTAGAGTGTGGCGAAAAGGTTCTTCAGATTGATGGAGAATGTGTTGTTTTTTTTTAAAGTGTTCTGTGTAGCATCAAAAAGGTTTACTTACTTAAAGACCACCTGCTCTCAAACGTGTGTTTTTTAAACTGTTAACTCTCGAATGCTTTATTGTGATTATATAGACTAACAATCATTGTCTGAGTGTGTGATCAGAAGAGCTGTTGGTGGGCCGGTAGTGTTTCGTGCAGGTTACTGTGAGCTAATGTATAAATTAATGCGTAAAAGCACAGACAACCTGTAAATGTTACATTCCAGTGTGTATCTGTAGTGGCCCTGGTTTACTGACTGTAACTGAGTCTCGTACAGTGGATAGAGATTAGATGTACACTCTTTAAAAAGATGGTTATTCAAGGGCTCTTTACTAAAGACAAGGTTCCATATACACACGTATATATATATATACACATCTGTTCCAGAACAGACTTTAAGGAGCTGTTACTGCTCTATAAATGTCTGAATGGTCAGGAGCAGCGTACTTTATCTGACCTGCTGCAGCGATATGAGCCGAGCAGAACTCTCAGATCATTAGGAACTGGTTAGTCAGTCCTGCTGAAGGTGAAGACTAAACATGGAGAAGCAGCATTTAGATACTATGTTGCTCTTAAATGGACGCAGTGGACAGAGAGCATTAGAAGAGCCCCGACACTGGACACTTTAAATCAGCCTGAAAATGATCCTGTCTGAGCAGCTTTCAGCTCAATTTAAACTCTGTTAGTTCTACTGCACTTTTCGTTTCTTTTTAAATTATAATTTGAATTATCTCTGTATTTTCTCATTTGTTAAGCACTTTGAATGACCCACAGTGTGTAAAAGGTGCCTTGCCTTTACACTAGATGTTGAACATTGCTGAGGTCAGGGACTGATATTGGATGGTCAGTTCTGGATCAATAACTCATCCTAAAGGTACTGGATGGAGCTCCATCACTCCAGAGAACACAGTTCCACTGCTCCACCGCCCAATGCTGGGGGGCTTTATACCCCTTTAGCCCACGCTTGCCATTGGGCATGAAGACCTAGGGTCATGTGCTGCTGCTCCAGAGCTCCATTCTATTGGTCAGTGCTTTTCTATGGAGAATATGCAAGCAATGGGTGACCTTAAGGCAGCAGAATTCACCAGAATTGGAAGGACTGTCTGGATACTTTTGGACACACAGTGTAGACAGACCTTTCGTGTGCTGTCCAATGACCCCAGATGTGTTTACTGCTGTGTTTATTGCCCCGTGCTCCTCGGTCCTCGCTGAGCCGTCCGTCGCCATGGTAACAGGACAACGCCCTGCTTTGTGCGCGAGGGGAGCGCATGACCTCCATTAGAGTTAAGTTAATTAGGAGCCAAAGCTCAACATCTGCACGGCAGCACAACCCTCACAAACATTCTCTAAAGAAAGATCTCAACCCTCAGAGACTGTCTGCAGCAAAACAGCTGTTTAAAGCACTCTATATATGCACAGTACCTGTGAACAATGTTATTATAGCTACAGCTCCCAGCAGTCCACTCTCTAAACTGTACCATAGCTTAATTTGTGGTGAAAAATAAATCCCATTTCCTGAATTTCACAACAAGTTTAAATGAGGACATAGAATAGGAAAAATATGCAATATGGTGTTCCTCAAGGCTCTGTTTTAGGGCCTTTTACTCTTTAGAGAGGGGTCCATCCCCAGTACTGCAGGCAACCTGCCCTGAACAGCATCACCTTCTCCTCACACCAACACACCTGACTGAGCTCATTCAATCCCTTTATGAGTTTAACCAGATGTTCTGAAGCAGCCAATACATGATATTTTTTTATATTTACACCATATACGTTCTTTTTAAATGTATTTCGCAACCTTTTTCAAAAATCTAAAAATCGAAATAGGTGAGAATAAAAATGATAAAAATGCTTGTTCATGGTCAGTTTGACCTCAACAAAATCAATGTTTTGGATTCTGAGAAATAAAAATGCTGAGAAATTATTAAAGAATATGAAGTTTGGTCATCCCCAGCTGTCATTGGGCGGAAGGCAGGATACACCCTGGACAGCTGGGATAGGCTCCAGCACCCCACCGCGACCCAGAAGGATAAGCGGTTTAGATGATGGATGGATGGATGAAGTTTGGTTCCAAAATACATTAAATATCATTTTCAAGAATTTTCCTTTTTTTCAAGATGTACATTGTTGGGAGTGGGCTTTACATATACAAGAAAAATCAAAGCTATGATTTGATATATACTACCTTTTTAGTAAAATAAATAAATAAAAATGTGTTTTCCATTGTATGTATGCTATTTATAAAAACTATCAAAAAAACTTCAAAAATGTTACAAATTGATATACAGCATGGTGAAAACTGATTCTGATTGGTCTAAAGTGATGACATTTTGTGTAGTTATACATTGGATGAGCATATAACAGTGTCCATTTGAATTTTCTCTATTATCTATAATTTTTCATACTTTTATTGATAATGAAATTTGGACTCTTTATCACTCACTCATTACAACTCAGTAGTCTCATGTGAGCAAAAGACCCCACAGACCCCAAACAATATATTAGTGTAAATGGGGACTTTTCAGAATATAAAGGAGTGGAATATGGTGTTCCCCAAGGCTCTGTTTTAGGGCCCTTAAAGTTCTTACACATAGAGAGAGTCAGAGAGAGCAAAGCACATAATAAGACAGAACAAGAGAGAAGAAAGTGAGATAAAGGAGAGAAAGGGTAAAGAGGGAGAGAAAGATAAGAGATAGTAAGGAGAGAGGCAGATGGAGTATCTCTCTAAGCTCGGAGGATTAACACTCATTAAACCCTTCCGCTTCCTCTGGCTTTTACAACATATCTCTCTCCCTCAAACACAAATATACACATAAAATGTTTCATTTTATCAAATGATGTGAAATCAAATCATTTCCATCAAACCATAATCTTACTAATCTTCACCATTTATGATCTAAAAGAATGATTATTTCCAGTGAAAGCAGACCACTGAACACTGAGAACGCAGAGTGGTCATTTCTCTGCAGTACAGGAGCGCCATCTGCTGCCTGTTATCAGAACTAACACTTTCACAGCTCATCCTGTAAGTACTAGTGTTCTCTGACCTGAGGAGGGCACTGTTACTCAGAAGATCTACATTTAGAGCCAGTTATTCATTCAACCTAATGAGAAACTGTAGAACAGACTCAGTTTATATCACAATACCTACATTTAGAGTCGGTTATTCATTCAGCCTAACGAGAAACTGTAGAACAGACTCGGTTTATATCACAATACCTACATTTAGAGTCGGTTATTCATTCAGCCTAATGAGAAACTGTAGAACAGACTCGGTTTATATCACAATACCTACATTTAGAGTCGGTTATTCATTCAGCCTAATGAGAAACTGTAGAACAGACTCCATTTGACTACATCAGACTACATTTAGAGTCGGTTAATCTTATCGTTTATCTTGTGTGAAAAGTCACATATAGGGTGTAGTTTTGTTTGTTGTGTATCAAACTAACATTAGCATGGTGGGTAATTTATTGCCATTTCCAAACTGCTTAGTCTCTAATAGTAACATTAACATAGTCCAGCCCAGGAGCGCAGAATTTTAAACTCAGCGTTATGTAACGACTTCATTTCTGACTAGATTAAATGGGACCTCACAACAAGAAGGAACACATCTGTGGACACAAGGGGAGACAGCGTTAAAACAAAGGTACGTCTTAAAGGCATACGATATGTATCAGCTGTATGTATTTGGTGGAAGTTATTTTAAGCTGTTTTGAAACTCATTGGCCCAAAGCCTCACCCCTACAACACATGCACCCCAAGGTCTACATTAACCCGGACAAACTGACCAAAGAGGGCACCTCTGGTTACTGTAGATGGCGGTTTCAGCAGAACCACCATCACTGAAACACCTCTGTGTTGACTTTACTGGTTGCAAATTATTACCGTTAACAAGTGTGTCTTTACTTTCCTGCATAATAAAGTCGTACTAAGAAGAAATAAAAGATAAACCCATAATGTCTTATCATTGTGGGAGGTTTTATTCTGTAAATGATCATATTATTCAATTACTTTTTTATCAGTATGACAAAGCTTAAATCCATTCAGTGTAACTCATGTAGCAGAACATTACGTGGTTCATCAAACCGACAAACCATTGTCGTAAGCAGAGCACTGACATCATTAATAGGCTGGTGGTGAATGTCAGGCTGAGAGTACATGTCTGCAGACCCAACTCCAGGGGTCGGCAACATGGGGCTCCAGAGCCTCATGCGGCTCTTTTACTGCCCTGTTGTGGCTCCACAGCAGAATCAGATTTGTAGGTAAAAATAAAATAATCCTCCTTTACAGTAAAATAAAGCTCTGCTGATCGTTCAACACAGTTTAACAGCAAATGGTCTTAAACTCTGGAGTTAATGTAGAACTGCTAATTCACCCTTTAACCCTGAAGATCAGTGCAGACTGCTGGTCACCATAGCAACACAGGCAACAGTCTCGCGAAACAGCAAAGAGAGAGATTTTCGATAATTTGACGAACATTGATAATTTGGAGATGAATGGACTTATTTGCATTTATAATCACTCCAGCTGGTTTCTTGATATGTTTAATCAGGAAACGATCGTCTAAAACAAAATCCAAACTCCAACAAATAACACAGTTAGGCTTTATCACCATGACGACAAAGGCACGGCCGCATGCCGCTGTGGGTTGCTCACTGATGCTGTTTACAGCAATTCTGCAATGAGGCATGGAGGGCTGTGCGATTTGGCGAAAAACGCTTACTACAATTTGTACGTGGTTGTCATGTCACATATACAGCATATGGGTTGGTTCTGATTGGACAAACACATCTACAGGCAGTTCACAAGTTCTGTGTTATTAGGTTAAATTTAATTAGGTTAAACATTGTTGTCTTCTATAAAAACAACTTTAAAAATTGCACTATTTTCAACTCCAGTTTTGACATAAAACGATTAATCTTTCAGCCCCAATGCCAACATGTAAAGGCACTTTAAGGCTGGTCCTGTGATGTGGCAACAGAATACAGACGCTCGCGGATGTAAAAACGACAAGTTTTATATAATCGAGCAAACAAAGCAAAAAGGGCAGAGCTGAAGTCAGGGTCAAAAACAGGCAGTAAGGTTCAAAACACGGGTCAGTCCAAATCAGGCAACGGTACAAAAGGATCAGGCAAAAGACAAAGTCAAGAAGAACAAAATGTAGGTCAGCAAAACAGAATACAGGCAGTCAGAAAACAAACGCTCAGTAGGTCGTAACGATACAATACTTCGCAGTGAACCTAACTCAAGCCCGGGCTTATAAAGGAGACTAACTAGACATATGATCAAGTGCACAGGTGTTCTCAGTTAGTACTCTGGGGAGTTTGAGCGCTGATTGGAGCACGGGCGAGAGTCAGGAGTCATGTGATCTCCCCTTGAATTGTGGGTAATGGAGTCCATGTCTGAATCCGAGTCGGAGGGAAGTTGCTCGGTCACGTGACTTCCCTGAGGATTCTGGGAAATGGAGTCCGTCTCCTTGTCAAAGTTTGCTGAATGCGTGACAGGTCCACAGCTTCCCGCTAGGTGCTTTGGGCATAAAGCACGTCTCTTTATCCTGATTAGTCATATTTTGATGGTCCACTTCATTTGGTTTTCTCCTGTAACAGGCCTGGTGAAGCCGCAGAGACTAGATTTTTTCCTCTGAGCATATATGTTATTGACAGCTGCTGGAAAGTGAGAAGAATTTTGTCAAATATTACAAAAAAAAAATTACATATTACTGTTAACCCCACGCCACACGTCATCCATGGAATGTGGAGTTTATTAACCCAAAAATGCATATTACGCATCATATTTCCAAAGCCTTTTTCCTAAATGTGGCAGTAATGTTTTCTCCTCCTGTAACTGAGCTCGTTGTTGTCAAATCACCCTCACTGGGGGTCACTGGGGGTCCCTTGGTGCTGACTTTTAGAGTGGAGCTTTAAACTGGACTTGAGGAGATGGATGGATCCTTCTTTATTTACTCAGCACATTTCCATACATGCGGTCAGTCACACCTGAAGACTATCAGATAAGGTGTAGCTCCTGTTGAAGAGTAACTACAAGGCGATGTCAAGCAGAGAGGGGGAGAGAAGAGAAGTTCTCCATCTTCAGCTGCACAACTCGCCCTCACGTTTTGTCTCCCCCAGATACCGAGGTAACTACTGTTTTATTACTCTATTTGCTGTTTGCATATTTGATTGTTGTGGGATTTTAGAGTATGCTAATTTGTTTTATGCAGGCTCTTTGTTTATGCATAAAAAAGTTGCATATAAATTCATATAAATGTCCATTACAGTGGGCAATAAAGTTAATCTAATCTAGACTACTAAAAAGACTACTAAGCTACTCATTCTGACCTCAGGCTTCTCCAGATTCTATTCAGTGTATCTACTTGTAGTCATAGGCATGTAATTATGCACAGTAACATCAGAGACAATTTCACATTCATTTAACAAGCACAGCCTTTTAGCTTTCTAATCTCTAGACCAATACTACCTGTACTTGTACTACTATTACTACTACTAAGTTACGACAACTAACAGTACTGATGCTACTAATGCGGGTCTTACTATTAGTACTGCTGCTAGTACTACTAGGATACGTCTACTGCTTCTACCAGTACTATTATTACTTCTACTATGGCTGCGTGTCATATTGATAGTAGACTACTAGTGCTACTAAGGTATTTTTACTTCTATGAATACTAGTACTATTACTAATAATAGTACTGCTACTACTACTAGTATGTCTACTACTATTAACACTACTGCTACTATTAGAACTATTAATACTACTAAGATATTTCCATGACTGCTACTACTACTAGTCCTGCTACCATTAAGCTACTATTTCTACTACTTCTGCTAAGAGTAATGCTACTAGTACTACTACTAGTACTATAAAGGTACAATGACTACTACTACTATTATGTTACTATTTGCAGTACTAAGATACTAATAGTACTGCTTCTAGTACTACTAGTAGTACAATTACTACTATTACTGGTCCTGTTACTAGTAGAGTACTACCACTAGTACTGTTAAGCTACTACTACTTGTACTAGTACCAATAAGGCTATGCCCTTCTTTTACTATGGTACTTCTACTTCTGCTAATATAATACTACTACTAGTACTACAAAGGTATGACAACTACTTCTTCTATTACTTGTACTGCTACAAGTACTATTGCTAGTGGTACTACTACTTATTCAATTACCACTATTACTAGTCATGTGACTAGTACTAGTAGTATTAAAGTACTACCACTATTCCTACTACTAAGACTTTTACTACTATTACTGTATTGTTACTAGTACAAGTAAGTTACTATTTATACTATTATTGTACTACTACTACTAAAAGTATTGCTAATAGTACTACTAGTACTATGAAGGTACAACAACTATTATTACTATTACTAGTACTGCTACTACTACTATTAAGTTACTATTTCTGGTACTAAGGTACTACTACTACTGCTACTAGTACTATTACTTTTAGTACTATTAGTAGTACTATTACTACTACTTTTTCAATTACCACTATTACTAGTCCTGTTACTAATAGACTACTGCTACTAATATTATTAAGGTACTACTACTACTACTACTACTACTAGTACTAGTGGTAATAATGTGGTGCCACTACTATTGCTACTACTGCTACTCCTACTATGGTACCACTACGTCTGTTAATAGTAATACTACTACTAGTACTAGAAAGGTATGATGACTACTACTTCTATTACTAGTACTGCTATTAGTACTATTAAGTGGTACTAAGGTACTATTACTACTACTGCTACTAGTACTATTACTACTAGTAGTACTACATATTCAATTACCACTATCACTAGTCCTGTTACTAGTTGACTACTACTAGTATTGTTAAGCTATTATTACTGCTACTAGTACAGGTGTTTTACTATTTCTACTACTATGGTACTACTACTAATAGTGCTATTAGTACTTCTAGTAGTAGTATGGAGGTACAACAACTATTACTATTATTACTAGTACTGCTATTAGTGCTATTAAGTTACGATCTCTATTACTAAGGTACTACTACTTCTGATAATAGTACTGCTACTGGTACTCCTACCATTACTACTAAGGCACTACTACTAGTTATTCTACCAAACTACTGACCTCTACTGACCTCATTCTGACCTTTGACCTCTTTCAGAATGGACAAGGTGAAGTTCACCCCGTCGGCCCTGACCAGTACCCGCGGCGCCCTGCACATGCTGCAGGTGATCATGTGTGTGTTGACCTTCTTGGTGAGCGCCATCTGGAGTCAGCCGAACCACACCTACTGGGTCTACTGCATGGTGATTTGGGCCTTGTGTCCACTCCTGACCCTCTTCATCACGGTGATAGAAATGCTGCTCATCCACAAGCTCATCCTGCACTTGTGCATGGACTGGGACGACTTCACCACCGGCATGGCCATGATGTCCTCTCTGACCACATTTTCCTGCGCCGTCATTTATGGCAACTTCTACGCCCGCAGGAAGCTCATTTGGGGTTGGGGGGTGACCATTCTGGCGGTCATCTCCTGCGTGCTCTACTGCATCGAAACCTTCCGGGACAAGCGGGACGCCACTCGATCGGCCACTTACGTCGCGGCACTTCCGGGCTTCCTGAAGATCCTCGAGGCCTTCGTCAGCTGCATCATTTTCGTCTCTCTGATCGGCTACGTCGGGAAGCCCGCGCTGCAGTGGTGCATCGTGGCCTACGCCATCCCGTTTCCAATAATCCCCATCATCATCATCACCAACATCATGACCAAGCTGAAGAAGTGCCTCCCGTTCAGCATTGACAAGCTGGTCATCATCTTCCTGATCATCTCGGTGCTGCTGTACGCCTCCGCCGCCATCCTCTGGCCGCTCTACAGCTTCCGGGGCAACCCGAAGCCCAAGGACTGTCCAGGAAACAGCTGCATCTGGAGCATCCAGTTCATCGTCACCTTTATGACCTACGTCAACCTGCTCTTCTTCATCCTCGACCTCGTCTTCACCTGCCTGGGCATGTGCGGCTTCAAACGGTCTTGAAACGTACGCTCACCACACAGTGAGCACAGTGTTTCAGTCACTCTGTTACAGATGGCTCTAGATATATCTAGAATAATATCTAGAAACCGTTACAATACCTAATCATGTAATTCTTTATTGTATAGTCTTCTGAGTTATTAGAAACATCAGTGCTAAAGCACAATCAGTTTTCTCTGGTTATATACAGTCCTGTGGAAAAGTTTTTGCCCCCCGGTCAAAGTACCTGTTGTTGTTGATTTTCTGAGTGTAAATTAGTTACACATCATCTACAGAGACACACATCTGCACAGTTTAATACAGTTTAATAATATAGTGTATTTGCTGAATTTAACACAGCAGGGAAAAAATATGAATTGTGGCCTGTGTAAAAGTTATATTTTATGTTTGTTTTTTTCCAGTATGTTAAATTGAGTGCAAAGAAAAATGCAGAAAATTGTCATATTTATGTTCTCTGTCAAGAGTTTGTTTACTAATTTTCAAATTTAAAAATGTCATTTGACTGGGCGTGTTCAGACTTTTCATATGACTGAGAATGAGTTTTGTTGATTTTACTGACTTCACTGTTTGTAGTTTTTTCCTTTGTGTTGCTCTTTACAAATGTATGCTTTTCTATTGTTTTACATTCTTTAATAAAACTTGAATTGAACTGAATCGAGTTTATTTGATGGTTAAAAATACACATAACGCTGCACAGCAGGCATTACACACACTTTACACACACTTTTTACCAAGAATTAAAACACAATAAAGCCCTAAAGCTTATTTCCATTGTGGTCCTCTTCACATAAAACACTCAAACAAATTGAACATCACAGAACAATAAGCACAAAAACAATACAGGGTGGCTTTCCTGATTGGATCATTTGTTAGGTTCTCTCAAAACATAAGAAAACATAATAAAAAATTAATCTCTGCTTGTTTAAATATTGCTAAATATCAATTCTTTTAAATCTTTTCACTCGATGTGTTCATTGTTATCAAAACAAAGTCAATCACATTTGAGTATAGCTGTTATTATTATTATTATTATTATATTATTATTATTATTATTATTATTATTATTATTATTACTATTATTACTATTGTTGTTGTTCTTGATGTCATTGTTGTTATCATAGAGAGAGATGGTGCTTCAAGGATTCTTTAGTAAAGACAATGGTTCTATATAGAACCATGAACACTCAAGGAACCCTTAGCATGATTAAAGGTTTCTTTGCATCATAAAAGTTTTCTTCCGACTGGTGGAGAATGTGCTGTAGATGGTTCTATATGGAAACACCATTAAAAAGGGTTCTATATGGCTCCCAAAAGGGTTATTCTATTGTTACAGACTTGACACTCTAACAATAAAAGAACCCTTTAATCATGAGTGTTCATGGTTCTGTATAGAACCATTGTCTTTACTAAAGAACCCTAGAAGCACCATCTTTCTTAAGGGTGTGGTACAAAAATCCACAGAAGAAAAAAACCTAGAAATCCAAAACCTTTACAGTAACTCACCGTTTAATTACAGCACATAGTATTAGTAGTAGAGATTCTATTCGTGCTCTAAACACACATCTAAAGGTATAAAGGTATGAAGTCTTTTCCTGCTGACGGTAAACTGTCAGAGCAGATCAGCAGTGTTGACTCAGTGAGATAGCAAAATTACGCGTCCTGATGACTTTGCAATTCTAATCGAATGTAGTAACTGTGAAACACCTTGATGGCCTATGCACGCCACTCCCCATGCAGCACCCTTATGTAATGTCTGTGAAATAGCCTGAACTGAATACTGAAAAATGAAAGCAACATAATCAGATCTCTTTACAGTGGTGGTGATAGGAACCAGGGGTCGCCATGACTACAACACAGATATAGACATTTTATTTACTATCCAGAACCACCAGTGAACCTACACGAGTCTTCTGAGTTTATATGAATGTTGATGATGGAAAATAGTGGAAAATCTGAAATAATAAGTTTTCTTTGGGGACTATTTTGCCTCACAGCACCCTGCATGTATCCCTCCACCATGAATGCATTGAAAAAGTACATGCTTTAGGCCAAAATCTTCTCAAAACTATCATAAAACAGTGTCTCAGTCATCAGGCAGTGAATTCATAACCATTTCATGAAGAAATTTTCTGTGAGGGAGCTTTTAGAGGTGGACGTCTGGTTCCTATCACCACCACTGTGAACAGTTCTGCAGCGGTAATTTTCTCTTGCTATGCTGTACTAGATGGTTTCTAAAGTACGGCTAAGCCATTGCTATGGTATGCTGGGTGGTTGCGAAGGAGTTGCTAGGCCATTGCTTTGCTTTCAACACCTTTGCAACTGCCTGGGATTCCATAGCAATGTCCTAGCAACAGCATCCACCTAGAATAGCAAAGCAGTGGACTAGGAACACATTAGCAACCACATGGGGTGCCAAAGCTATAGTCTAACAACACCTTACTACTTGGGATACCATAAAACCAACTGAGCAACAGTTTAGCAACCACATGGGATACCATAGAACTGACTGAGCAACACTGTAGCAACCCCCTGGGATACCATAGAACCAACTGAGCAACACTGTAGCAACCACCTGGAAGAGCAAAGAAATGGCATATGAACACATTAGCAGCTACCTGGGATAACATAGCAATGGCCTAGCAACCCTTAGCAACCACCTGGAACACCTTAGCATATAATAGCAACACCTTAGCAACCTCCCTGGGGTACCACAGCAAAAACCTAGCAACAACTTAACAACTGTCTGAGATACCATAGCAACAGACTAGCGACTCCTTTGCAACTGTCTGAGTTACCATAGTAATGGCCAAGCAACACCTAAGCAAATACAGGAGATACCATAGAAACAGACATTTTAGCAGCGTTTTAGCAACCATTCAATATGCCAAAGCAATGGCCGAGCAAGTACAAGTACAAGGTAGGGGTTTCTAATAAAGTGGCAAGTGAGTGGAAGTACAGGGTAGGTGTTTCCAATAAAGTGGCCAGTGAGTGGAAGCACAAGGTAGCTGTTTCTAAAAAGTGACCAGTGAGTGGAAGTACAGGGTAGGTGTTTCTAATAAAGTGGCCAGTGAGTGGAAGCACAAGGTGGGTGTTTCTAATAAAGTGGCCAGTGAGTGGAAGCACAAGATGGGTGTTTCTAATAAAGTGGCCAGTGAGTGGAAGCACAAGGTGGGTGTTTCTAATAAAGTGGCCAGTGAGTGGAAGCACAAGGTGGGTGTTTCTAATAAAGTGGCCAGTGAGTGGAAGCACAAGGTGGGTGTTCTGCAACTGCTTTAACTTTTAAAGTGTTATTAGCATTTTAGTGTCAAGCCAACTCAAAGTTCATTCACTAACTTTCTCTTTCTGGTTGACCTGTTGTTTCCTGCGTCCTGCTCTGTGAGCAGCAGGTGTCAAAGCAGATGAGCAGTGTTGACTCAGTGAGATATGTAAATTGTGTGTCCTGAGGACATCTGTATATAATGTTATCTGTATATAATGTTGTAACCGCCAAAGATCTTGACTTTGTTATATACACTCCAGGATGTCCTCATGGTCCTCACTGTTCTCTGTGTGTATGAAGTACACAGGTGGTACAGCGGGGGCTGCAGGTCATCCTGAATGGGAGAACCTGCCATTCAAACATTAAACATAGAGGGGTCCTCTTTCTTTCTCTCTCTCTCTCCAGGGCAGGTGTAGAAGTGGTTTGTGCTGTGGAGGGGGCGAATCTGATGGAACCACTCTCACTATTGGCCAAGATGTGTTTACAAAACCAGGGCTCACTTTTATGAAACTTCTCAGAGTGAGCCTGTTGATCTGGGATCAGTCAGTGCCTTTTTCCTAACACTGAGAAGAACTGAGTGAACTGATCCAGGGGCCGTATTACAGAAAGTTCGTAAGTCTGAGATCATATCTTATCTACTTTGTTGTCATGGTGACTTCGGTTAAGACTGAATTTAGGACAGAAGCCATTATAGAACAGCAGCTCTTAAGTCTATAATCTTATTTCCAGATAAGAAAATGGTTTTACAGAAACATCCTAAGTTGCCAAAATATCCTAAATATTTTCTTAACTTTAATATAAACCCCAGAGCATCTTAACTTCTGTTTTAATCGTCTGTTTCTATTGTTTTATACAGTGTCAGGCAGCACAGTTCACTAAAACCAGCATAATGACGCCACATTTATCTACACTGAAAATGCTGCTTTCACTGTGAGTTGATTTTCTTTTCTAACTCTGCGTTTTAAAGATCTCAGACGCTGCAGACTCGATCTCCACCGCCCCTCTGATTACCTTCATGTGTTAATGTTGATGATGAAATATTACAGTGATGGTGGTGAATAATGAGGAGACGGAGCTGAATGTGTGTCTGTTTATTAGAAAGAGTAACGTTAGCGCGCTCGGCTAAAGCATTTGGGAAATGGAGACTGAAACTGAGAGCGCTGATGCTCTGATAAACAGCAGGGGGCGCTGACGCAATATTCTTAACTTTCAGTTTATCGCGCTTTAGTCTTATTTGACCTTTTGTACATCAGTAACAGTAGCTAATGTTAACTGTCTGGCTAACTAACTTGATTACTTGTTTACGTTTCATCTGTGCGTGTATGGTTGGTCGCTAGGTAACAGACACGACAGTTGATTGTCGACTTCAATCGAGTAAGTTGAGATTTCCTAAATGAAGATGCTGTAAGATAGGATTCTTAAGTTAAGATCAGATTCGCTTCTGTAATACGAATTTGTGTTAAATCTTATCTTGACCTGTCAGATCAAATTAAAACAAAGTTTCTGTAATACGGCCCCTGGTCAGAGCTCTGACCGGCGGATGTCTAATGAATATGGGTCCAGAAAAGGATGCCTAACAGGGAGGGTCTCAGGACAGGACAAGGTTTCTGTTGAAGCTCTGACCTCCAGACTATATGAACAGTTATGATACTGTTATGATAAAGTGGACAATGTGTGGAAGAAACCAGGGGCTGTATTACAGAAACTTCCTGTCTTTTAATCCTGAGTTAATATCTGACAGGTC